TTGACTGGATTTTTTTGGAATTTTGGAATTTTGGAATTTTTTGAATTTTGGAACACTGCAAGGTTGGTCCTAGGGGGAGGGGTTAGCATATATATGTATATATGGGGTGTATATATATAGGGTGTACATATATATATATATAGAGAGTATGTGTAGAGTGTATAGATCATATGATATATATGTATATGGGTCATTTAGGGATAAGGGAAAAGAAAATAGAAACTAGTATTTAGCGTTTAGAGCTTTTGATTGGGGACCCTAGCTGGATCCCAGAGAGTTCCTGTGCCCAATAATTTGGTACGTACTTGGACCCTTAGGGGTATAGTAATCATAGTAAGATATATGTTTATTAAGTACTTGGACAATTAGGGGATGGTCATAGTTCTACATGCTGTCGAAGGCATGCTTTAAGCGGGAAATGTTTGCAGGTACAACGTCCGAGGCCCAGGCGTTATGTACAGTGATTCCCAGTCATACGTGTCATCTCCTATGTCAATATAAGCCCCTATAATCCCTGTAGCTTCCATTTTATAACCCCAATGTATACCCCATGATCCCTATATAACCCTGAGCTGCGACTTTTGATGGAGTGCCATGACCCGTTCATCTCCTGTTTACAAGAGGGCATGTATTGGGGTAATATTTTGATCATGGAAATGAAAATTACTATCATGGGTTATAGAGGGTTTAGGGTTTTGGTTTCGGGTTATGGGCAGACCGCCACGCCCTCCCGCTCCCGCAATTTGAAAGAATTGAAGCTTTCCTTGCCCGCCTATTGCCACCCAAAATTTGCTTTCTCGAACTTCAAAAAACTATTATGTTCATCCTTACCCAAGCGCACTGCCACAAAAACATAAGCCAATTGAGCCTGACTTCATCTAGGATCCAACTGGTACGTGCCATGATGTGATATCAACTCCCCAGCGTGACGCCCGTGAAACCACTAACGCTTGTATGGGGTTCAGGGTTTGGGGTTTACTAGCGGCACGGAGCAAAGTGCCAGGCGTGGATTTTCCATGAAAACTCAAACAGAGTCGAGTGATTAAGGCTATACCACCAAGCTGCATGTAAGGCGGTGAAAACTATCAAGGCTTGTTGAGATGAACAGAACCCCACCAGGTTGTGTATGGTGTTGAGCCTGCTGCAATCTGGCAGGTTTTTTGCAAAGGCTTTGAGTTTGCAGTTGAATTAGCACCCCCCAGAAACCAAACAGAACCACATGAGCTATAGTCTAAACTCCCTAAAAGGGAATTATACAGGGGGACTACTATTGGGGGTTATTAAGGGGGATGATAGGAGTTTAGACTATGGGTCACACGCTAGGCCAGAATAGGGTTTTAGGCCCAACTATCGTTAATATAGTAGTATTTGGGCCCTAAAACCTTGTTATTTGGGTCCTTGGACCCTTATCCTAAAACCCTAAACCCACTTATTTGGGCCGTAAAACCCTATTGTTCGGATCAGTTTTGCAGTGACGCCCCAGACAGTCGACACCAGCCCCTCCTGTTTAATGTTTAGGGTTTAGGGTTGAGTGTTTAGGGTTTTCAGGGTTGAGTGTTTAGGGCTTAGGCTTTAGGGCTGAGGGTTCAGGGTTAAGAGTTTCCCAAAACAAGGGGACCCCAATATAGATCCCCAAAATATTTTAGTCCTTATTTTTGGGACCCCAAAAAAGGTACCCTTAATTTTGGGAAATTTCCAAATGTGCTTGAGTGTTAGATAAACTCCTATCCCCTGGTGATTTTCTTTTACAGCCCTCATATGAACTGCAACCTCCTGGAAAGGTTCCAGGAGCCGGTTGGACCCAGATCTTCCTGTTCTTGGGCCTTGTGGATTCTTGGCTGTTCAGTTCACCTCATGAAGAGTGATGTCAGGTTTGGAAATCTCACCTAGACTCTAAGCCTTGGTTGGAGGATCACGGGGACTCAGTAAGTGCATGTAGAACCACTACTGGTAAGCCATACGTAGCCATACAACAACAGACCAGTCATCCCCATTGTGAACCCACTTGCTAACTTCTCATGACTCTCGGTCCAAGTAAACGGTGTTTTGGCTGGGCGGAAACCCCAAACCCTAACTTATCGTGGAACTTGTGATGTTTTGGTTGGTTCGTCCTGGGTCTCTGTTCAGATAACACACCGAGTGGACAATCTTATTGTGGTTGTCACCTGAAGCCTAGAAGCTTTGGGGATAAGGTTTGGGGGATTAGGGTTTGGGGTTCCCCCTTCATCACCAAGACTGGAGAATCAAGGCAAACACGAAATAACCAAATGGAAGCTGGGTTTACATGTGGATGTGGGGGCGCTCCCAGAAGTCTGTCGGATACTAGCCTTTGTGAGGCTGCCTAAAACCTTAGGAACTTGAACCATCGTTTTACCTACTCTGTTGAGGTTGAGACATACCTTGGCCTTGTTGAAGCCTGACTCAGCAAAAGCCAGCTGAGGGTTAGAAATGTGAACTGTGTGAGCTTGGGCAAGCGGCATAGGACGTGCCGTCGTCTGGCTGTGGCTTCCCAGCACAGTGTGCAGCCTGTGTTACATGCATGCTTCATCCTATTGTTCTGTAGACTACGGGGCAAGGGAAGTGCAAGTGCGAGCCTAATAATGAGGAAGTATTACAATTTTCTTATCAGAAAGAAGCCTTCCTAGAGTTCCTTACATATAGTCTTGGTTCAGCGCAATTTCACGGCGAAGTGTCGGTTACATATTATGTGCATCCTCGACCAATTTCACATTTTCCTGGACACGGATTGCACCCTTGCAAAAGGTCGGCCTCACAATATGCAATGTTTGCTTCAACCCTAAACCCTCAACCCTAAGCAAACCCTAAACCCTAAACCCGAAACCCCATGCCCTACAGATGGTGCAGAAGCAGACATCAGCATAAGAGCCAAGGAGAAGGGCCTCTACACCTACGACCCTACCCGCGAGCCGGGAGAAACTCGCCCTTACATAGGCATTTCCAAAACCTGGGATCCTTCTAATGTAGCCCCAAAAGACTGAATTTAAGGGACCCACGTATTTTAGAAGCAGTCATAGATTGTGTGGCTGAAGGTTTGGACTTTCCGGCTTTTTGCTTTGAGAAGTGCGAGTTCCGCATGTTGTAAGGGCTTAGGTTTTGATTTGTTGGATTCGGTTAGGGTTTAAGGTTGCCCATCTTGAGTTGCTTGGGCATTGCCCAAATACTCACTTCCGCCTCATGTTAGTTACATGTTACCTCCCACCCCCTGTGACATCAAAAGTTGCCAGCCAGCGCCTACTCGTTGGGAGATCTGCAATTTTATGGGTAAGGTGTGGTCAATGTTAAAGGCAGAACGTTACCCCAAAACCGAATTTATCATCCCTTGATCCGGGACCCTTTGTTATCATATGAGCTATTGTCTAAACTCCTAGTATCCCCCTTCATAACCCCTATAGTAGTTCCCTATATAATCCCCCATATAACCCCCTTTAAGGAGTTTAGACTATGGCTCATATGTGTGCCCAGAGAGCCCAATACCCCTTTATTAAGGAACATAGTTTAAGTCACGTCAGGGACCCGAGTACCAGTTAGGGTATATTCGTCATATAATCCCTATAGAACCCCACATAATCCCCACATAATCCCTATACTCCTTGGCAGAATCCTGAGTGGGCTCTAAAGCAGGAAGGGGAAGCCGGTCTGCTTATGCGCTGCTGGGACAGAACAGAGAAGTCGACTCGAGTCAAGTCACAAGATTGAGCAGCTGTAATCGACAGCGACGGAGGTCGCCAAACTGACAGGTTTCCCGAACCCGCTACCTATTGAAGCAGCGGAGACCTGCCACGCACAAAATGATGCGGACAGTAAGATTGACATGGACGCCGTGGTCCAGTACTTCGAATTCGTCACATCCCTCTTGTAGGCTGTGAGCCGATCGCCGTCAGAAGCGCTATAGGGATGCGACGGCATGGGGATGGCGTTGGGCTACCCCCTTCCCGCCGATTCCCCACTTTTCTAATCAGTGATGTACAGGATGATGAACCCAGTGCGTCTTATGACCTGCGGTCTTGATCTTGTGGTCCAATTAAGTGTAAGTAATGTTAGGGGGCTTTACAACAACCCTCACCGGGAACTGCGCGCGGACCAATCTGGAATAATTTGGAGTCATTTTTGTTTGGAAAGCAGGGGTCGTGATGCCACCCTGCACCCTAAACCCTAAAACCCTACACCCCGAAGCCTGGGGCCTGAGCTCTGTCTCGTTGGTCATCATTTTCGTAGTAGAAGTAGTAGGAGGAGAAGGAGGAAGAATATGCGAAGAGTGGGAGTAGGAGATGGAGAAGGTCCTCCAGAGGAACAGGAGAGAATTGTAAAGTTGATTTCCACTGCGAGCCATGATTTTTCCGGTTTTTTGGCATCTGCATTTTGTTATTGTCATTTTTCGGATTTTCACCTACTCGAACCCTAGAGTCCGCATAGGTTGCTTGTACAAATCATGGCTCGCAATTCAAATCAACTTCAACATCCTAAAACTGGGGATATTTTCGGCCCAAGAAGTTTCATTACTGTGATCCCCAGTAACAACGACCCCCACATGTTAGAAAGCTTGCGGAGGGTTCATGGGTTTTGCAAATGCTTTGCGCAAGCTGAGGCAGATTTTATGAAGGGTTTCTAGGGGTTTCCAGGGGTTTATGAAGGTTTCACAGAGTTTTATTTGGGCACTGCCCCCACTCATTAACAGTCGGAGAATATGTATGATTATAGATTATAGATATCCCCCCAAATTACAGACTGTTATAGACTGTTTATGGGTGGGGGCAGGACCCAATGTTTTATAAAGGGCTTATGGAGGTAACCTCCTTGTGGTCTTGCGGCCTGTGGACTGGGTCATGTAGTTTGCAGAGGGCTTACAGAGGCATTTCAAAAGGTATACAGAAGCTTAATAATGTATGTACCGCTTATCAAAGAAGTTTTGTTAAGTTTGAAAGGGGTGTTCCGGAGGTTTGATAAAAGGCTCTCAAAGGTTCAAACAATCTTGTAGCGGGCCCATAGAGGTACTTCCCCACTGTGCTCAAGAGGTTTGTGGTTTGGGTCCGGTCGGGTGGGTTTCTAGGCTCTACAGAGAGGTCCCCAGAGAGTTTGTGATTCATGGGGGTTAACGGGTATAAAAGCTGGCCTCCTCCCTCAGACTGGAGAATTGCTGTAAAGATCTCGAGGCCCACAAAAAAGGCCCGCTTTGAACAACCTTTGCAGACATCTTGAGCAATCGTAGCATTACCATCCAAAAGGATATGGACCACGATGATAAAAATAGTAGTCACCATCCCATTGACGCTAAAAAGCTGGTAGCAGCTCAGAACTACGCCAATGCTGGTGTCTTGGGCGTGCCTAACGGCAGCACCATGGCCAAGGGCGAAGGCTGGGCATAGGTTTGAGGGTTTTGGGGTGTAGGGGCGGTTAAGGGGGTGGGCTTGGTGGGGGGGTTGTACGGTTGACTACATGACTACGGTTGAGGATTTATAGGGTCAGGATTTAGGGTTAAGGGTCCCCATTTAAAGTCCATATTTCGTCCATGACTCAGATTCCGGGCGAGCGTCAAAGTCTTGATTCGCAGACGCTTCAGGACCTGAACTCCAGGGTTTAGGGCTTCGGTCGGAGCTCTTGGGAAACACACATTAGCTATAGTCTAAACTCCTTCAGGGGGTTATACGGGAGGTTTATATACGGGAGTATTATACACAGGAGTTCTTAATTTTTCAAGGGGATATTAGGAAGTTGGGTGTTAAGTGTTTAAGTTACCAAAGTATGGGTATATAGTAGATAATCGGGTTTGGCTTGTTAGAGCAACAAGGTTAAAGCTGGCCCGGAACTGGGGATTGGTAACTCTGAGTAGCTCCTCTGGAAAACCAGGTCCCTTCGAAGGGTGGGTAGCGGTTTGGGGTTTAGGATTTAGGGGGTATAGCGGGGCTACATAGGGGTAGGTAGGGTTTAGGGGGTTTAGGGTTTAGGGGCGGGATTTAGGATTTCGGGTGTGGAGTATACAGGGTCTCAATCCTACACCCAAAAACCTATGCCTTCAAGGGAGCTCTTCGGGACGGTCGAGCTAACCAAGGGTAAAGCTGGAACTCCCATATACGGTTTTTGGGTATATGATATACACATAATGATAGCTTGTAGTGGGTATACAGGTGATCTCTCTGGGTTCTGGGGCGTCCCGTCAGGGCAGCGTAAGCTTTTTGGGGAATCAACCAAGCTCAACTTGCCATTGTCCCTGTTGAGTAGAACCTTCCTTGATCGGACGAAGAGTTTCGCGCATTCAGTAACGCTCTGAGGCTTGGGGCCTTAGGACTCCATTCTTCATGAAGATTGGGCCATGTCGCTCGCACGATTTCATCGAGAGCCCAGGCGCATGAGCTTCAGTGCTTCAGATTAGATGTGGAGCTCTTGCGCATTCTTTTGCAAAAGCACCGGCAGAGCTCCGCAGCCTGCTTGAAGCAGTACTTGGGGCGAGTCACCGCGGGGCTGTGAAGCAGCTCCCAACTTCTAATTATCAAGAGCGATCGCTCCCCGAAGCTTGCCCACTTTGTGGTGAGACTGTTCCAGGTCCCCAGCATGTGTGGATGAGCTGTCAGCATCCGTGTATCGTTGAAGTCCGAGCGGCCCACCTGAAGGCTTGCCAGTAATTTTAACCCATAACTGGGTTACTGTTAAGGAACTTAAATTAAGTTACCATAATGGGTATACATAATAAATAATAGGGTTTCCCCAATATAGTAACTTAAATTAAGTTCCTTAACAGCAACCCAGATAATCTTTGCAAAGCTAGAGTAGAATGTCCCCCCTCCAAAACCTTGTTCTGATCGAACAGGACCCCATACCTTATGATCACCCATTCTTTTGACTTCCATGTATGTGAGGCAAGCCACTGTCGGTTTTCAGTTTAGGGAGTTGGAAGCCTCCCGATCCATCAGCTAGATACTGCCCCACCCAGTAACAATCTATGATATGCGGAATATTAAAGGCCATATAGATATCATATAAATATTGTCCAATCACTGGGTCGGGGTAGCTTTAAATGTAGCAGCCTCTTCATAGTTACAAACTGGATCGGAACACCATGGCCATTGTGATATTGGGAGGGGTCAAGCCACGAGGAAGCTTAAGGGGAGTGATGGCCAAGTAGGAACCCCTAAATCCTAAACCCTAAACCTTGACCTTGACTGAAGGATGTTTTTGTGGCACGGTCTTGCTGGTCCTCCGCAGTGTCAATCTTAAGCCCACAATCCTCAAGATTGCGGGCTTATAGGCTTACTCCTAATCCCAAGCCTAATTTTCTCATGCGCAGATGAAAGCTCAACCCAAATTAAATCCCGAAACCTACAACCCAACCCCAATAGACATAAAGCTGATTTCGCACAACGCCCTGCAGAGTCGTTTATGATAAGACTAAGACTATAAACTAGCTAGCCGGCCTTGAAGCATGTAGGCTTGATCGAAACCACATCCCTAAACCCTGGATCTCAAACCTGAGGTCCTATGACCGACGGGAACCCCAACCCTAGTAGCAGTGGGCTTGGGGTTTAGGATTTAGGGTTTAGGATTTAAGATTTTGCGTTTTGCCGTTTCGAGCTGAGGGCTTGGGGTCCAGAGGTTTTTAGGGCCTAAGGTACAGTGCTCAACCCTAAACCCCACACTTCAAGTCCTGAACCTTGCACCCTAAACCCCTAAACCCTTAACCCTTAACCCTTAAACCCTAAACCCTTAAACCCTAAACCCTTGGCTTCGAAGAGGCCGCAACCGCAAGCTCAACTCCGAGCTTGCCAACGGCCGGCTGGCGATGATGGTGACCGGGGCGGCGGTTCAGTTTTGGGGGGTTTAGGGTTTGGGGTTTAGGGTTTAGGGTTTGTGGGCTTCACGCTCCAACATTGTGAAGCCTGCAGAGGGCAGTAAAAAAGATGGCAGTCTTCTGAAAATGAAATTGTTGCAGACCCCATATTTGTTTAGGGTAGGGAAGCATTTTAGAGTTTGAGGTTGCTGGGTCTTGGGACTTAGCGGTTGGAGCAGTAGGGTTTTCAGTTCAAGGAGAGGTTTCAGGTCACGGGCCTCTTCTTTGAATCATGATGTAGATGTCCTTATTGGGAGTACAGAGAATTTTTGGTGTGGTGTGAACCTTTTACGTCGAAAGTCCAGATCTCCTTGAAGGCGGTGGTTTGCGTAGGCAAGCTGGAGACCTCCTTGCAAATTGGGTCGCTTAGGGTTTATGGTTTGTGGTTTAGGGCAGGGTTTCAGGCTGTTTTTCTGTAACGTTGGGTACCGGCCCCACTCAGTAACGGCGGGATGATAGTCAGTACATGGTTGTGTATAGCCATGACAATTTCGTATTATAGACAGCTACTCAGTGGGGGGAGTACCCGATCTATACCTAAACCCTACATAGTAGCTTCCATTTTTCTATCATCCCAATATAGCTCCTATATAGTACCCTGAACGCTAAACCCCCCAACTATACCTCAACCTGCTCAACATAAATGTTTGTGGCACCTAATCCAGAGCTAAGCCGTGAACCTAGGCCAGTTTCTCGTCAGACCGATTTCCGGAACCCATGTGAGCTATAGTCTAGACTCCTTAAAGGGAGGTTATATAGGGGATTATATATGAGAGTAGTACAAGGGATACTAAGGGGGATGCTAGGGTTTAGGGGTTAGGGCCCGAGGGCCTCGTATGTCAAGAGCATCCCAAATCTTATCCACGCTGCGCAGGAAAATGGGTAAGTGAGGAATCGACTGAACAAGTGAGTAGACGAGCAAGGATGTAAGTCCCTAGTCGGGCCTTTCCAGCCGCTCCATACTTATGTGAGCCATAATCTAAACTCATAAAAGGGGTTATATAGGGGACTACTATAGGGGTTATTCAGGGGGATACTAGGAGTTGGGAATATAGCTCATGTAACCTCCAGCCTTTGGAAGTCAAAGGGACTTGACAAGTTTCTGCTTGCTGTCTTCGGCCGTTGTTCTTTGCACGCCGGGCCTTCAGGGCAAGCCACTAAGCTGTACTATGTCTACCCATTATGCTAGCTGAATTTCCGCTCCCTAACAGCAACCCAGGAAAGGGGCTCCAGCTTCCCGAGATTCAGCCCAACTAAAGCAGGTGAAGGACGCAATGAATCCACACATGGTTAACTAGGTATCCCAGTAGTATCCTTTTCCCATTTTTTTGGCAGTCTCCTTATTCAAACTGAATAGTAGGAACAAGGGTACCCGTATAATTAAGGGGTCACTGGGGAACCTAGTTAATAAGATGAGCCAGATGCAAGGATTAGTAGCAACGAATCCAGATATGGTCTAGGGTTGAGGATCAGTCAGATCCAGGGTTTAAGTTTTAGGGTTTAGGATTGCTACTATTCAGGGTTTACCCTAAACCCTAAACCGTGTGTTTAGGGTTTGGGGTTTGGGGTTTAGGGTATTCAGTCAATGAACCTCAGCGGCTTTAGGCCATCATCGGCATGTTCTTCCAGGCCTGGGGGGGGGGTCCTTGATGGCGTGTAACACGCAAGTCCTATGCGCTAAACCCATAGCCGCCCTAAAGCCTAAACTTACGCCCCAGACCCTGAACCCTAAACCGTGTTTTGTGTGCAAAGAAGCCCGACCCCCACGTTGGGGACTGATGCCTGGGGGGCTGTTAGGCGCTTCGAGCATGCTAAAAGAGGGTGACTGGGTGCGTCAGCATTTCAAGTTACATGAGTCACTTGCTTAGACGATCTGCTTTGCAATGCCGAGATTCAGTGTACCAACTTGATGTTATAAGCTGAGCTGGTGGCCTTTCGCAACTTCCAAGCTAGCAGGGGCTCCTATCGAAAGCTACTTGTACAAAAAAGAGTGAACTCCGAACCCTAAGCCCTATACGCGATTTATCCTGGACGAGGCTTCCGAGGCTTGTAATGGGTCGAAGAAGAGAGATTTCCAAAAATGGCCACTAAATCATCATTACTGGGAGCCCTATTGTCTTTGTGTAATCCCTTAGTTGCCAGGGGTACCATTTTTTGAGGATGTGACACTATTAATTACTCCAAGACGATGAATGACCCAACAGAGTTCTGATATTACTGTGTGTCATCAGCTGATAGCTGCCGTGGAGGCCTATATGCTTTGAGTGGATTTACAAAGCACACCACGCTTCTTAGAAGCTGTTCCTTATTTAGAGCAAGCGGCCAGCCCCAAAAGGCCTGAAACTTCAAGCAGGAGCTTTGCAAAATGAACCCCCATCATCTGTAAGGATGATCGCTGCAAGCTCCTGTATCACTAGGTCCCCCGAGAAGCATATGAGAGTTTCGCAGAATAAGATCCCTATACAATCCCAGATAAGGAAATCCAGCATCTCCGTATAATCTCAATATCTCCCTAGGGTCCCTACAGTAAGGGGCTCCCATTTTGAGAACATATTGAATGCCAATCCCAAACCCTGAGAGTTTTCGGTTTAGGGCTTAGGTGAGGGTCTAGGGCTTAGGGTTTAGGGCTGGGGGCTTAGGGGCTGGGGGAGAAATCCAAGCAATTAACTCTTAAATCCCTAGCTCTAAGCCATAAGCAAGCCCCTGCCCTACCCCCTAACCCTTTACCCCTAAAACCTTAAAACACAAAAAATGAAAACCCTTAACCCTAAACCCAAAAAATAGCATGCCTGATGCATCCTGGAAAGGACGGACTTACGGGCAGCGCATGGGGAGACTGGGCCGCCTACACGGACGCCATGGCTTAATTTAGGGTGTAATATCGGGGGTATAGGGGTTTAATGGGGTTTATAAGTTTTAGGGGTTCTTCTCGGTGTTGAATTTCAGGGCTCTGCGCTTTAAGGTTAAGAGTTCCCGGCTTAATAGGGTTGAAGGTTTTGGCGTCTGATGCGGTTTTCCCGGCTTTCCGTTGGGGGCGTTGGGGCCTGCTGCAGGGTTCCTGCTCGTTCTTCTTGGGCCTCTGGGGCTTCTGCAGCCACGTATGACTCCAGGACTTTCCTGTGCATTTTTAAGGGAGTGTAGGGGGCTCAGAAACCCAAATTCTAAACCCTAAAGCAGAAGGTTGAGCAAGGTTCAAGGTTTTTGTTTTTCGTTGAGGTTTGGGCTTCCACACTCGTATCCCATTCGCATAAGTCTGGACGGGTAGACCGGAGTGTGCCCTATCATGGTATTGCACTTTCGGACTGATGATTATGGGGTTTAGGGTTCATGGCTTGGGGTTTAGGGTTAAAGGCTACGGGTTGAGGGTTTTGGGTTTTGGGTCTAGGGTTTAGGGTTCAGGGTTTTGGGTTTGGTGTTTAGGGTTCAGGGTTTAGCGTTTAGGGCATGGATTTTCCTCTTTGCCAAGTGGGATGATATCAGATGAGCTGCATCAGAGGAATTATCGCGGCTCACCTTCCAACCTCCTTGGTTGGGAAACACTGCTCGCCTTTTCTTGGCTAGCTCGGAGGTGGCCACGGTTGTGGCCAAACGCAAGGGTACGTACCAGCCGCGGGCCTGCGGGACGATACCATGGGTGCTTTGTTGCCAGGGCTGGCCTCCGGGATAATCATAAGCCCTATGGCCTGCAGCCGTCCACTTCCGGCGGCTCAAGGAGTGCACGGATTCGTGTTTTGGATCGATATGAGTGTCAAAAGCCTCGCGAGAAGCCTTCGACATGCGATCTCAAAATGAGGCTGAATGTATTCTAAGAGGTTCGAGAGTCTCCCACGGAACCAAGTTTGTAAGTGGGTGGGACATTCAGCAGGGCCGATGGCCGGAAACAGGGTTCTAGAGTGTTCCATGGTCCAAATACCTCGGTTGTCATTAAATTGACCTATACAGGAGCCCATGTTGGCCCAAAGTATTTACTATGCAAGCACTTGACGTTATAAGGGTAAGGTGGTATTGTACGAAGTCTACTGCAGGCATGGGGAGGGCCAAACAACATCTGAGTCAGGGATAGTGGCTTAAAGTCCATCCTGCATGGGGAGGTGGCTAGGATGTGGACATTTCTTGAGCTTGAAGGTTATTATGGATCGGCTTAAAGGGTAATATTGCGGCAATGTCGTTTCTTACGCGCTGAGTGTCGGGGTGTGTAGCAACAAGCACATGCGCTTCACAAAGAAGCATACCTGTGCTCATGGCCACTGGTCCAAAAAAACTGTTCACAACAAGCTTGATCCCCTCCCCCAACGAGGCCCTCACCCCTCACCCTAACAATGAATGCTCCCCCTATTGCATACCGGTGCTCGATTGGGATTTTGGTATCGCCAGGAGAACAGGGTGGTGTCTTATCATGAAGGAGGGTAGGCCCTAGACCGTGAATCCTGAGCCCTACACCCTATATGAGCTATAGTCTAAACTCCTTAAAGGGGGGTTCCATAGGGGATTATAATGGATTATATAGGGGAGTGTTACAGGGGTTATTAAGGGGGATGCTAAGAGTTTCAACTATAGCTCATATGGCCTAAAACCTTTGCTAAGCCGGTGAGGATTCCCCTCTCCGTGCCTTCGAGAACGAGCTGGGTGTCCAGGCCCTTCCATACCAGCCGCCTTCTGGGTACTGTTGAGGGTTTGGGTTCAGGGATTATGGATGAGGGTTTAGGGTTTAGGGTATTCACCGGAAGTTATCCGGTTCATGTTATACCCCAAGTATGGTAATTTGATCGAAGTTGTTTTGGCCCAGTCTTGGGTAAGCATGATGGAATAACAAGGAATAGGATTCAGGGAGAAGTCTTTAAACCTGAGCAGTTCGGAAGATCCTCCCTTGAAACAAGCACTCACGAGCCCAATGTGAATGGCTTAGGACGCTGCATTTGCAAGGCTTGAAAAGGGTTTCTGTTCTAGGGGGATGTTTTTTTGGTACATATGTATGGATCCTTAATTATTACCGGGGACCGCCGAAGAATTCTTGCATCATCGCCGAAAGTTGGAGATGCCATCTCCAGACTAGCATGAGCCATTGTCTAAGTTTCTAGTATCCCCCTTCGTAACCCCTATAGTAGTCCCCTATATAATCCCCTACATAACCCTTTTTAAGAAGTTTAGACTATGGCTCATGGTTTTTTTGATCCTCCACCCAAAAGGGTTTACCTTGCTACACAGGGGTAGGTTTGAACGCCTGTCATGCTTTAATCTGATTACGCTTAATCCCTGTGTAGTTCCTATGCATTAAGACTGTGGGAGTTGGGAGCCATCAAAACTACCCTAGTCAAGATGTATGATTGTTGGGCTTGTTGGTCGGATGGAATGAGGTCAAGTAGTGGGGAGGACCTTCCGTTTTAGTTATCGCCTCTCTGGGAATAGGGTTTAGGGTTCAGGTGAACATTGGTAGAGAAGGCTTTAGTTCAGGGTTTAGGGCTTAAGGTTCAGGTTTTAAGTGAACATTTGGGGAGAAGGCTTTGGGGTGAAAAGGGTATATTGGCTTTGGACTTCACAATACGTATGTTCACTCTCCCAGGTTGAACATCTTTCAGCAGTTGTTGTTTTTTGGGCAAGACCGTTTCTAGCATTCTAAGGGTATGCAGCAGAGTCGCCAAGTCTTACAACCTAAGCAATGTGGGCTATATATAGTATAGTCTAAACTTCTGGGATCCTGCCTTAATCAGCCCTATAATGCTCCCCTTTACAATACCCTATATACCTCACATTTTTAGGAGTTTAGACTATAGCTAGCTCATGTGGAACTTTGATCACGGTCTTGGTCTCGCTCTGCAGCCAGCAAGACCAAGTACCCTTCCAGCGCAAAGTCTTAGGCTAGGTACCCAAGTAGTGCCCTTTTACCCTTTTTGTTTGGGGGTCTCCTTATGAAGACAGAACAACCCTTATGATTTTGGGTTTATCGGGGAACCTAGTAGGGGTTTCTTGGAGGTTCATTTGGTCAAGCCCCCACCCAGTACTGGATGCCAGTTTGTTCGTTTGCTGATATGAACGGCTGTCGGAATCTTCCATGTGGTCATGGCCAGCAAGAAAATTTGGAATTCAGCGTCAAAAGTTCATATGAGCTATAGTCTAAACTCCTCGTATCCCCCTTAATAACCCATATCGTAGTCCCCAATATAATCCTCTACATGCCCCCTTTAAGGAGTTTAGACTCCGGTTCATGCGGCACATGCGGGAAATTACTTTGCTGTAGGCATGATAGGATCGAGGGTTGAGGGTTCAAGGTTGGTGGTTGAAACTTTTTCCCTGGATTGGTAAACCTTAATGCCAGCAATACAAATCCTTCCAACGGTCTGCAGAGTGTTCGCTGGTCCGTTCGGGAATAAAAGTAGAAACCTACCCCAATATAATATAATAGTAGTTTCCGTTTTATTTTCCATTATTCCCAACATAATATAACCCCAATATACTACAGTAATTTCTATGCTATTTTCCATTATTCCCAATAGAACCTAAACCCTAAACCCTAAACCCTTAAGTTGCATCCCTGGTCTGCATACATCTGCAGCATACTGAGCTAGATACCCCGACGTAAACCTTAGCTCCAGGGCGCGGGTTTAGGGTGGTTTAGGGTTAAGGGTTTAGGCAAACCCTCAACTGTACATCTGCAGACCCCCAAAAAGCATAAACCCACAACCCCGAACTCCACATCCCAAACCCTAAACCCTGCAAAGCGCCAAATTCCGCGTTCGTCTCAACAGAGGCCCCTGTTGGCTACTTCGACCCTCTGGGCATGTCCAAGGACGGTGATGAAAAGACGTTTCTGCCTTGGCTAAGGGGTGGTGAAGGTTGAGGGATTTAGTGATTTAGTGGAGTTGGGGTTGGGATTTGGTGGTTTGGTCTTTGAGGCTCAGGGTTGTCCGGGCATAGCTTCTAATCCAACTGTCCCTGTTGTACTGGAGGGGCCTAAATAGCTAAACGGCCAGATCAGAGACAAACCGCATATGACGAGGTTGCACATAGCAGTATGCAGTACAAAAATAGAATCCTGGTGCACTTACGTTATGCCCGAAAACGCAAACCTTTGCAGCTCCAAACGCGAATTTGATGTGGTTGTCACGCTGTAGGGGTCTAGGTTGTATGGCAATGTTTAGGGCAGGGGCAAGAAAATCCCGTGACAAGCCTTTGCGCCACTTCACGCGGCTGCCTCAAAGGGTTTCAGAGCCAACGCCATTGCTCGGGGAATCTGAAGACCAGTCTACCCAAGCTCTGATCCTGACACCGCCTGAAATCCACAAATCCCAATCTCTAAGCCGGATTCTCAAGGCCCCCCTCGGGGATAGTTATCTATGCAAATTTCCTATCCTGCAAACCCCAATAGAAAAGATTCCTCATACTGTAATGGCTTACCTAAGCCGTATAGCCTTATATAAATAAAAACACCTAAACCCCAAGGTTCCGTCGCCGCCGTGAGAGCGAGCTGAAGTCTGGCGCTGAGTTTTGTAGTCAGGGCCTGGCAGTAGGAACGTGCGGTTCAAGGGGTTTGATCAGGCTTGTGGTTTCAGAATTTTACGGAACTTTTTGGGCTTGTCAGTTCTGTAGGGTGTATGTTGACAGTAGGAACTGGGCAAATTATCTCGATCCGCTGCACCCAAAGTTGCAGTGTACATGGTATGTAGAACATCCCAAAGTGGTCTCATTCCAGGTTTGGAAATTAAATGGTCATCGGAATCGCAGCCCTCCAATTCAAAAGGCTAAATGATGGTCAAGATTTAAGGGTACGAGTCAAGCCTCATGCATTGGGAGTCGACTGGGAGCATGTTTCGCGTTTATTGTTCAAAAAGTATCGACGTACCGAAGCACATTCTCCGAATTATACGTCTAAGGACCATGATCATGTTTAAGTGGCAATGGAACTCTGGTGGATCCACGGCCATTGTAACTCTGTTATCACCTTATATCACGAAAGTATACCCCAAAACCTAAATTGGGCCCTACATTGGACGCATACTTGCAGGCTCGAAATGGTAGTAGAGTGCCGGGCACAGGTCACATGTGATATGGCTGTGGAAGCTCTAAGTAAGTTGCTCAGAGGGCCAAGTTTAGGGTTTAGGGTTCCGCGTTCAGAGATGATGTGGTAATTTCCCTAAATAGGGGGACCCCAATGTAGACCCCCAAATGCTAGAATCCTTCTTATGGGAACCCGCCAAGAAGGTACCCCTAATCTTGGGATACCCCCCGAATCTGGCTAAGTGCCCACCCCTCGATGAAGGAACGGACGCGTGGCCATGTTCGCCGCCATGGGATGTCGCATGCTTGGACAAAGTGGTTGTATACTTTGGGGCATTGAAAGGATGTCTGATCAAAGGAACTCTGTATGAGAGCTATAGTCTGAACTCCTTAAGGGGTTGTATAGGAATCATGTAGGCGAGTATTGTAGGCGTTATTAAGGGGGATACTAGAA